ACTAAAAGGCTGCAGGAGAAAGGACCTGGTGATGGGCTCCTGTAAAGGGGACGGCCCACAGAGTCCCTGGGAATTGGACTGGACTCCATGGCAGTCGGCTGGGTCCATCTGAATACCTTCTCTAGGGGGCAGCACAACTTACTCCTCCCAACAGCCCATTTCTCATCTTAGGCCTCAGGCCAAAGGTTTTCGTGCACACTGGTGACTTTCTGAGGTCCCAGTCAGTCTGCCCCCTTCCCACAACATGAACTTGCCCCATTTCCTTCCTTGGGTGACCTCACAAAGGAATGTCCTCTCATTAGAATTATTATTTCCTTTCCCGAAAAAGAGGGGAGCCAGCATTCTGTCAGAATGCTCTAAACCCAGTCCGTACCCTGACGCTTGGGGCAGGGCCGTGGTATTAAGTGCTTGCCACCAAGTGGGCTCCTTGTGTAGGTTTGCCGAGGCTGTAAATCTCTGCAGAGCAGAAAGCCGCAACTTTCTCCCGTGATTAGCAGACCAAAGAGTAACGTACTACGTTACCAGCGCTCCTTCCTTTCCCCTCTGGAATCCCAAATGCCACTTCCTCCCTGCCCAGTCCACAGCCAAGCAGGAACCACCCGCAGGTAATGTGCCGGTTTAAGTGGAGACAAGAGCATTTTCTCTGCATCCCCAAAGGCTCCCTCAGACAGGCTTGGCGAGGAAGATGAGGGAGCTGGGCAGCAGAGAAAACCTAGGAGGGCTAATCTGGGGGAAAAGACACACCTCTTCACACACATACAGTTGTGTTGTGGTTGATGTTGATGTTAGGTGCCCTGGAGTCAGTTCCAATGCAGTGACCCTACGAACAACAGAACCAAACACTGCCCAAGCTGGCGCCTTCCTCACAATTCCTGGGAAGCTGGAGCCCATTGTTGCTACCACAGATGCATCCTATAGAGACGATACTAAGTCTTAAACAGGAGTGAAGACGAGACAAAACACAGATCACCTAGATGAGGGAAACTGTCAATCTGACATCGTGGTAAAATCCATGTGGTGACCTTTCATTGGGCACAACCACAACTGTGAACTGATGGCAGCAGTGTGTCCCCCACACACAGCCCATACCTAGAGAAGCCGGGAGGGGCCACTGTCTGTGTCTGGGGCCAGCTCGTGTACGGGGAGTTCTGTTCTTCCTGACCGGCTGGAGGAAGTGACCCAAACCCGACTTTCAAATGCACTCTGCTTCTTCTGACCCTGGCAGTCTGGCTGTCGGAGGTGCACGTGGTACTAAAACAAAACCGTCAACTGATGTTAATCTAGACACAGATAGAATTACCCTCTGCCTGATTAGACAGGCTCGCCGGCAAAAAAGCCTTCAGATTTCATGCTGAAAAGCAGGCCCAGCGTCCTTGAAGTGGGCGGGGGAGACACAAGCTTAGGCAGTCTGGCCCAGGGACTGCCGTCAAACAGCCCTAGACCTCTGAGCATCATTAGAATGGAATAAAAGTGTTGGGGATGAGGATGGGGGGAAACTAGGTGCTCATCTAAACTGGGAAGAAGACCACCAAGAGGGTCAAGCATTGGGAAGCCACAAGCCCAGAGATGGAGGGAGCGGTGCAAAGCTCTGACCACGGGGACCGCAGTGGAGGGTCCCCAGTGGAGACTCTGTGGAGGGCCACCAGGAGATGCACAGCTCCAGTGAGGGCTAGCAAGCCCACCACACCACCCGTCATCCAGTGTCACTGACAGCTGAGCCAGCAGCATGGGCACACCTTTCTCCCTTTGTTACATGCGCCCTTAGCCCAACTCTGGAGGGTCAGAACCCGCCAGCAGCAAGGCTGGAGGAGCAAACCAAAGGAAAGACACGATAGTGGGGTGAAGACTGTCCGACAAGATTTACAGCTCTGGTGGTGCAGTGGCTTAAGTGTTGGACTGCTAACCAAAAGGTCAGTGGTTCAAATCTACTAGCTGTTCCACTAGAGAAAGATGAGTCAGATGACTTCTGTAAAGATTTACAGCTGCAGAAACCCTATGGAACAGTTTCACTCTGTCCTGTGGGGTCGGTCAAGAAATCAAATGATGTATTGCATAAGGCAAATCTGCTGCACAAGACCTTTTTAAAGTGTTGAAAAGCAAAGATGTCAGTTTGAGGACTAAGGCACGCCTGACCCAAGCCATGGTATTTTCAATAACCTCATATGCATGCAAAAGCTGCACAGTGAATAAGGAAGACCACAGAAGAATTGATGCTTTTGAGTTATGGTGTTGGAGGAGAATATTGAAAGTGCCACGGGCTGCCCATAGAACCAACAGATCCGTGTTGGAAGAAGTGCAGCCAGAGTGCATCTTGGAGGCCAGGATGGTCAAACTTCATCTCTCATACTTCAGACTTATTGTCAGGAGGGACCAGTCGCTGGAGAAGGATATCATGTTTGGTAAGGTGGAGGGTCTGAGAAAAAGAGGAAGACCCCCAGAGAGATGGATTGGCAAAGTGGCAGCATCAATGGGCTCAGGCATGTTAACAATTGTGAGGCTGGCCCAGGATCGGGCAGTGTTTCGTTCTGTTGTGCACAGGGTCACTATGAGTCAGTACTGACTCGATGGCATCTAACAACAAAAAAATGGGATTGGTATGAGTCAGAATAGACTCTGTGGTTAGGCCTCGGAATGTGTCATGATTTAGAAATGGGGTCTTTGCGGAGGTAACCAGTTAGGCCTTGCATCTAGTGACTAAGGTCCCTATTAGAGAGGGCAAACACACAGAGGAGACAGCCATGAGAAGACAGAGGCAGAGATTGGAATGATGCAGCCACAAGCCCAGGGACCCTTGGAGCCACCAGAAGCTGTAAGAGCCCGGAAAGAATCCTGCCCAAGAGCATCCAGGTGGAACATGTGCCTCTGGACTCCGGAGCTGTGGGAGCTGCAGACAGCGCGTATTGCTGAGAGGATAGTGAGAAGGAAGCTTTCTATAGGGGAAGCATGGGAGCTGGAACAGGACAGAACCCCCTTGTTTTTCTGGGCTTTTCTCCTTCCACAAAGTCTTGTGACTTTCCTATCATGTGTTGTAGTGGGAAAGATTTGAGTTTTCCTTCTCAGGTAGGTTTCTGCCTTATGCTAGTTTGGGCTTTTGCAGGTTTTACTGCATTAGATGCAAGTTCAAAGTAAGGAATAGACAGCTGACCCTTGGACAACACGGGTTTGAACTGTGAGGGTCCATTTCTTGGTGGATTTCTTCCAGTGGCCATGTGACGCGACTCCCCTCTGTGAGCACAGACCCTCTCTCTAGTTGGGGTGGGGCAGGGTGGGTGGAAGGGTGAGCGGTTAGCAGCTACACTAAGATGACTGTTATCACACGGTGCTTTCAGAGGACACTTGCAACGGTTGGGCTGACATGGTGGCAACAAAAATGGGCTAAAACACAACAATTGTATGGATGACGCAGGACCCGGCCGTGTTTTGTTCTGCTATGTTCACAGGGTTGCTATGAGCCAAAGCCGACTTGACAACACCTAACAACAACAACAACAAAACACTTGAGCTCATGGGTAACCAGGAAAACGCGCACATGAAAAAAAAAAACCCATGAGAATCCCTCACAGAAGAAAAACCACATACACGAAGTGGAGTCCTGGTGTGGCGCTCTAGGTCACTTTGGCTCACTGTGAGCCGGGACCGATTCCAAGACACTTAACAACAACAAGGACAACAATTAAGGTTGGAGTCCTGGTGTGGCACTGTGGAATGAGCAAGGACTGTTAACCTCAAGATTGGTGGTTCAAATCCACCAGCTGCTCCTTGGAAACCCTATATAAGGTTGCTGTGAGTTGGAACCAACTCTAGGGCACTAGCGATACCACCAACAATTAGGTTTAGAGTTAGGGTTGGGGTCAGGGTTAGCAATTGTCCCTGTGTGCATTTTTCTTGTGTGTATTTATTACAGTGGGGTGCTTTCTGGTTGGACATTTTTCATGTGTGTGTTTTTCCTAGAAGCAACCTCACTGGTGTGGCAGAGATTCAGCACTGGACTGCTCACCACAAGGTTGGTGGTTCAAATCCACCAACCACCCCTTGGAAATGCTATACAGGGTTGCTATGAGTCAGAGCTGACTTAACGGCACCTAACAACAACAACAAACAAGCTCACTGCAATAGCAGCAGAAAAGAAAAAAAATCCAAGTCTGGGCAATTCAAACCTGCTCTGTGTAGGGTCAAGTGTACATGTATCAGTTGAACCAGCTTTAATGGAAGACCTCAGCTGGCTAAGGACAAAAATGAATGGCTTTCTCCTACTAACCGCTGTTGGCTGTGTCTTCCTACTGGGGAACAGACTCCTCAAGAGACAGCTCAGGCTCACCCCCAGCTTGTGGTTTGATATGAAATGGCTTTTTTAAAGCATGGCTAAACTCAAGGGTACTCACTCATTATTTAGGAGTTCCAATGGGCCAGCTTGCAATTTCATGAAAAGAAAGACTAACCCACCAGAGTGTGGGCTTAGACGAGCACCTTACTGTGATCTGTTTGTTCCACAAACCGCTTACAATGAAAAGTGGACTAAGAATGCTTTTCTATTTCTTCAGATTTCTTTCTCTACACATTTTTGGTACATGCTATCCAATTTCCTATTAAAGATTTCATGAATTTATCAATGCCTTAAGGATATTGACTGTCACATGGGTGGACTTTTTTTCCCCTTTGTCCTTTAATCAATGATATTTTGATGTTTACAAAATATTTAGGAACACAAATCTGATCTCTCTTTTTGCCAACTCAACAATTTCTGCTATCAGTGATGTTTTCTGGGGGATAAAATGATGAATGAGATGGACTGGCTATTATTGTAGTTTGTGTACTTTTATTTTGATAGTAAGTGGGTGGTCCTTTTACACCCAGAACAAAGAGTCACTGCTGCTGAGATCAGGCTAGTCCTTGTGAGTGTTTCCTGTATTCTACTCCAGGCTTTTCAAAGTAAGCAGTCTATTATCCCCAGAATAAAGAGCCACCATCAGTGAGACCCAGCCATCCCGTGCGTGCGTCACCTGCATTCTGCTCCATGTTCTCCTTGATGCCTTCTAGGAGTTCCTGTGCATCTTCCACGTTCTCCTCTTCCTCCTCTTCACCTTCGTCTTCTTCCTCCCCTCCTTCCTTGGGCGCGACAATTGCTTCCTGCATGCCACAGGGATATTCATATCAGAGGACACCCCACACTGATTTGCTACACACAGGCCACCTGGAAAACAATCCCGGGAAAAGGCTGGGACCCAATAAGGGAAGGTAGCTGTTAAGGACTGAGCTGTGTCCCCCAAAATACATGCTGTAAATCCAAACCTCTATACCTGTTATGATAGTCCCATTTGGGAATGAGGTTTCTGTGTTATGCTGATGAGGCATCATTAGTAGAGGTGTGCCTGAAATCAATTTAACATCTCAAAGAGGAGATGAAGCAAAGAGAAGTCTGCAAGAGAGTAGCGATGGGAGGCTGAGAGACAGAAACTTAACGGAGACAGAGACCTTCCCCCACAGCCAACTGAGCCTTCCCCTAGAACCAGGACCCTGAATTTTGATTTCTGCCCGCCTTAATGGTGAGAAAGTGCCATGAGCTGCCAAAAGAACCAATAGATCCATTTTGGAAGAAGTGCAGCCAGAGTGCTCCTTAGAGGCCAGGATGGCCAAACTTCATCTCTCATACTTTGGAC